ATTTGCAGTGCATTTAAAAGCTAATTATTATAAAAGGTTTTTTTTAAGTTATACGATTTTTGAGTTAACGATATTCAATTGTTGTATCCATCAGGTTTCTATTTGTAACATACTTGATCTATTAATAGAACCTTTATTCTTACCTCATAAGATGCATCTTGAACAAACTAATACTGTTCTTCAATTTTAAAAATAAATTGTGCTTAGATTACTTTAATTAGTTAAAGTATATAGATTATGAATTTTAAAAATTATTTCTTCTGAAAAAGTAAAAATAAATTAATCTTCAAAACTTTTATAATTGTATATGTTTATATTTGTCTGTTTGTAATAAAATATGTTTCTTTTTATTTTGATGATTGAAAGATATTTTCTTTAAAGTTATTTTAAAAAAGCATTAGAGTATTCGGTGGATTTTTTGCGGACTGAAACATCCCAAAATAATCACAGACGTCAAAGCCTAGATAAAAAAAAAGAAGACAGCTATGAACGAGCCTAACGTAAAGCCAAAGAGATATTTTCAAAGAGAAGCGGCGTGGGATTATAGAAAGCTGAACTTTTAGTAGAGAAGGGGGTGACTAGTCGAGCCACTTCTGAAGATCTGAATTGGAGAAAAAATCAGCACACACACACATATATATATATATATATATATATATATATATATATATATATATATATATATATATATATATATATATATATATAAAGAGAGAGAGAGAGAGATTCAATATCCCACTTATACAGTTTTTTTTCACAACCTTCTGTTAAATGTGAATACATATTACGAAAACCCAATAAATCAGGGAATAGAATGGTGATGAGCGATTGTAAAACAAATTACATCATCATTTATCTAAAGTTCAATAATGTATAGCAAAATACATAGCTAGGTTCCCTGAAGTTTAGGTATAAAGTTTAGCATTAAGAGTGTAACGAGTAAGTATAATACAATGAAAGAGTTTAGCTTTTATAGTTTGGGATAAGTAAACAAGGTGCTGCTCACTCGCCTATCATTTCACCCGACAACTCCGCCAGCTTGTTAAGTAAGCTCAGGTCGGTCATTCTCAATATACATGCACTTTATTAATCCAATTTCTTAACTTGTCATCTATAATAAATGTTATATATTAAAAACATGTAACAAAAACAACTAGTATGCAATGTTGGTTGGAAAGGATTGTAATCGTTCAACTGTAAAGTTAACTGAGATTCAAGCTGTTTGACGTAGGACGATGGATATGGAACGAATTTATATCCCGAGGTACCACTAAACGTAGTATTTTGTCGTGACCTCTCTATTTATTTAGTCTTACTTTAAGATTCAAGTCTGGTCCGTGTGAGACTTACTCGACCTCAGATATCAAATGCAACAGATTGTGTTAACATAAATATCATTTGTTAACTAAGGCGCAACATATTTTCACACATAAACACAAGCACATTTACACTCTCAAAGCATCCTATGCTGGTTAAAATTATATTGCCCTATTTAAAATCAATAAACCCATTACATCACTATTCAATTCGGTTTATTTTAAGAAGCGCAATCGTAATGTCAGTGAATTACGAAGGACTGAAATTTCAACTGACGCGGGGTTGAAATGTTTTAGTCCTCTATTGATTCATGCAATGAGATTTATTTTTCTTTTAAATTATGATCACCATATCTAAAAATAATTTAATATCATCTAATCACCAGAAATAGCTGTGCAGCTAAAATGTAGTATATTTAACCGTTTGGCTGCATCATCTTGTGTTGGAGGTAAAATATTGCATATCTCTAGTTAAAGGACACCGTCATCGATCAGCCAATGCTTCTAAATTGTCTCATTAACGCTAATGTAATCCGACGTTGAATTGATGACTATCCATCCTGATGCTGACTTAAATCTGGTTAATTTTTTACATAGTCTAGGGTATATGTGATAGAAATAGGTTAACTGATTTGTTAAGGTCGACAATTTCAAGAACTACAGGTTAAAACAACACAGCTGTGATAGTAATGCCTATTCTAATACCCTATTTATTTATGTTGGCTATGAGGCTAAGGTCAGCTAGCAAGTAAATCAACTGTGGGGCCAGGAGATTTTAAGGTTACCCTGATCTAAACATGGAAAAAAATAATGTTAAAATTAATTTTTGTTGTTGATAAAAATGGGTTTATAGGATACGCTACAGAGCAGGTAAGAGATCATTGACCGAACAGACGAAGGTGAAATAAACGCTTTTTTATCTCAGAAGCCTTATCTTTACATAACAACCTTGTTACAGCTGATCAGATACTTTGTTTACAATCATGAATTGTACAACTAAAACAAGCAGGTAGTGAATCATTTACAACAACAAGAAATTGTGCGTTATGAACAATACGCAAAAATCTGGCAAAATACAGGTAAATATCAGGCAAAACGCAGGTAACTGTGTTTCAAAACACATATAAATATTGGGCAAAACAAAACAAAGGAAAATGTAGGACAAAACAGAGCACAGGTAACTATTGAGCAAAGTTGGAAATATTGGGTAAAAAAACACAAGTAAATATTGAGTAAAACAAAACACAGGTAAATATAGGACAAAACACAGGGGTAAATATTGGGAAAAACAAAACAGGAAAATAATGGCCAAAATACAGGTAAATATTTGGAAAAACAAAACACGTATAAATATTGTACAAAACAAAACACATGTAGATATAGCACAAAACAAAACACGGTTAAATATTGAGCAAGACAAAACGCAGTAAAAAATCTTAAAATATTTTTTAACAGTGAGAATACTTGAGGAAACGGAGGCATGATTGGAATAAAGTATTGGAAGATAGCAGTTTAGCTGACGATGCATGATTGGAATAAACATAAGCCTTGTCTATAGATTTGGAAGATATCAATTTAGCTGACTATGCAGTATGGACAGAAATCGTCATTATTCATTAATGACGATATTAAGAAAGAACAGATAAACAATCTACAAATTTTTTAAAAATACAAAATGATTCCCAACGAAGGTCGATTGAATTTTTTGTAATTGAAGCACCAGTAAAGATCACAACCGTTAATTTTATTTCAGAAAATAGGTTTTTGAAGCTGCAGGTTTTAGCTAAAATAAGATCATGCTCTGAATTGAATTGAGGGTAATAAGTCACCACGAAACAAAGACCGCTTTAAAAAAAAAATTTTTACAATATGTTTTTTTTTTAATTTAGTGGATGAAGCCACAAAGGTCAAATGTTGTTGAACTCAAACGATTACGTGTCATGATAACCACATACCCAGCACGTGATGTATGCGTGTTCGTAGTTGTGTATCGAGGTGATCGCTCACACGACAAACACGTGATCGTAAATGTTGGCCAAGGTGATCGTTTCATGAGAGCAGGTCATCGTAGAAGTGTCTTAAGCTGATTAGTGTATAGAAACAGCACGTGCTATAAACGTAAGCAGAGGGATTACATCCTTTTAATCCTTGGGCACCCTAAAATATATTTTTTAAATGTAAAAATGTAAAGTTTGCGGTGCTAAATGTAGAAGATAAAAAAGAAAGATTACCGTGAAGATTTGTTTTCGTTTATATTTGGTCTCGCGTTCGAATCCGGGCTCAAGTCAGTAGAACGTTCCAGAGTCCACCCAGGTCTGATGGGTCTCTAGCTCACCTTGGGAAATGTAAAGGCGACTGGGCTTAGTAAAAGTAAAAGTAAAGTTCCCCTTTCAAACCTGACGGTCTATGGGGAAAGTGAAGTAGAGTTCACATGTTTCTGTGAACTCGGCATATGAAGAGATAGTGTGGTCAGCACGCCTTTACTTTCCCTAACGTGAGTTAGGTACCTATCAGAGTTGGGTGGACTCAGGTCTACTGACTTGAACCCGGATTCGAACTCGAGACTTACGGGTTAGCAGTTCAGCTCTCTTCCGCTAGACCACTCAGTCCCATACTGGGCGTAGTGCTGACCACATTATTTCTTCATATGTTGAGATCAAGAAACATGAACTCTACTTTATCTTCCGAATGGATGGCATGTTCTAGAGTCTAAGTAATCTTTACTGTTATCCCATATTGTATATCTTTCTTGGGTGCCTCGGATGTACAGCTTAAAACAATCATAATCTGATTAATGGAGCTCATGTACTATTTCAGGCATTACATTCGGCGTTGTCTGCGTTAACATATGTTTGCTTGTAATATCAACTAAAGAAAATATGTTTGCTTGTAATATCAACTAAAGAAAATATGTTTACTTTTATTTTTAACTAAATAAAGTATATTTGCTTGTAATATGAACTAAACAAAGTATGTTTGCTAGTAATATGAACTAAACAAAGTATGTCTGCTTGTAATATCAAGTAAAGAAAATATGTTTGCTTGTAATTGAACTAAACAAAGTATGTTTGCTTGTAATATCAACTAAAGAAATCTGTTTGCTTGTAAAATGAACTAAATAAAGTATGTTCGTTAGTAAAATCAATTACCAGAAATAAAAGGGCATGTATTGCTTGCAGGGCCAATTGGGTTTTAGTCGTATTAGGTGTTGTGCGTGTACGTGTGCGTGTGCGTGTACGTGTACGTTATAATGAAATATCTACGTGGCAGTAGTTGTTACACACTGTGAGAGTCTGCAATTTTGAATGTATTTCTATTTTTTCACGTTCCACAACTTAACCTACATTTTATTATTTTTAGTTGAGTTGTATTCAACAAATGAATGTTGAAAACTTTCAATTAGTTGAGTTGTATTCAACAAATGAATGTTGAAAACTTTCAATTAGTTGAGTTGTATTCAACAAATGAATGTTGAAAACTTTCAATTAGTTGAGTTGTATTCAACAAATGAATGTTGAAAACTTTCAATTAGTTGAGTTGTATTCAACAAATGAATGTTGAAAACTTTCAAAACTTGAATAAAACCTCACACAAAATATTCATCATTCCGAAAATTAAATCACGTTATGTCCGCGTGATCATCCAATGACAGTGACCTTTGGGATAATAAGCCAATAGAAAAACGGATCGGGTCAACCAATCTATATTAACCTCATTAGTTATAAACTTAGCTTTCAGGCGCAGTACTTTTCGCAACTTCATACCGACGCATATTCCGTTGATGCCACGCAGAGGTGAGTCCAGTTGTAAGAGTCAGCAGCTGAAGAAGGTTTAGCTTTTAAACAACTTGTTCTATCGTCTTAGTCATAAAGTGTGGAAATATCTAATTCATTTGTAACGATATTCCAAACTATTTATTTCAGAAAATGCTGCCCCATGTTTTTGTATGGCTCTGCTTTGGGGCGGTTTTTGAGGTGAGTATCAATGTATTTGTTAATTATGTCTAAGTGCAGCACTGCATCAATTAAAAATGTATTTAAAATAACCGCAACGGACAGGCTCGGCATTTGAGGTAAAAAGTATTTGTAACGGCCGAGACTTATGTTCTCATTAAGCATCTTATACCCTGCGCTGCTTGGTGTTTTGGACTTATATCAAATTTTCAATTAAAGGCGTGATTTATTTACAACAATACGTTAGTTTGATCATAAATGTGGGGATACAATTTCACCTAATCTCGGATATTAACGTTACATGAAGAATGACTGCTGAATACCTTTTTTGAATAAAATTATTATAATACGTATTTACAGATTAAAAGAATGCTGTAAAAGCAAATTATTCATATCCAATTATGTAGATATAATTGAACTTTAAAACTTGTTAATTTTTATTAAGTGTCAAACTTATTTGAAAACCGATTAGTATAAATTTTAAAGGAAGTTTTTCTTTTATCTAAATGTTTTGCTCCTTTTTTTTATGCTTGTAGTCAAAGAACGGGAGAATTTAAAGATTTAAATTTCTGAAGCAAATTCCTTTACTAATTAAAAATTGAGGAGTAAAAGCGTTCAAGTATTCACCACTTAATAGGCATTTCTGAGGATCTGGTATTTTTTCTAGGTGCATACGGCATCAGAGCTATCTGCTTACCAAATATTCACTTTTTGTCGCATCTGCAAGTGGTCAATCTAATTCAAGCACTTCAGAAAAATGTATTGTATATATCGCCGCGCTCACTCTAGGCCAGTTTTCGGTCACTTTAAACTCCATTATTGAGATTACTCTTTTTTCCCGTTAAAAAGAGAATGAACCGCAAACTTTGGCAAGAACAATTTCCCTGCAACTTACCTACAAATAACTGATCTAGTAGTTGCGAATAATAAAGAAACCAAACATCACCACTTTACTTTTATAGGTACTGCGGTCAAGATGATAATATATGTATCTATAATAGAACGCTCGTATTTAAGGAGGGATAGGTAAAAGTTGTAAAAACAATTTTTATTATTTACTTTTGTAACATTCATTTTTCTGTACCATCCCCTTCGTCTCAATTATATTTTTTCTTTTTTTCTCATGTGACAAAAATATTTTTTTTATAAATTGCTAACTGTAAAATTACTTCAGTGTGCTGTGAAATCTTATTTGCAACACATAATTTTATCCTCAGGTCGGAGCACAAATTGATGATTGGGTAATTATTTCTTACCATTTTGTTTGAATATTTTTTCAACTATCTAATTTAAATTAAATTCCTTGCATGTTAATCAGTCAGTCCATCTGTCTGCATTTTTAATAGTATTCAATGCCGACTTCAGTAAGAACTAACGGAATAAAATCAATAGGCCTACTTCTTTATTTTAAAAACATAAATACCAACGTACTAGTTTACTTTTTAAAATTTAAATTTACTAAAATAAATTTTTTAAACTCTAATATAAATACCTTTATAATAATAACCTTTCAAATGCACTAAAATTTTAAAAAAAACGTGCTTTCATTAAAAAAGCATTAAGCATGAAGTCTATTACATATTGGATCGAAAATTCATTGACTTAACAAATCAGGTCTGTTTTGTTTAATTTTTTTAAGTGCATTTGAAGATAATAATGATTAAGAATGCTTATTTATATATTACTAGGCATACTGCCTAGCTCCGCTTAGGTTGTCAAAAAAAATTGAGGAATCGAATGATTAATTAATAGGTGATTGGCTGCTATGTTAAATGCTTAGGGCCTAAATTTATACAGTGGAGTAGTTTCATTGCACACAAATATTGATGAAATATTCGCAAACTTATTACTCCCACGGTTATTAGAACTGCAAGGGGTTTATTAATAGTATCAATCACATATTATAATAAATTACTTTCGCAATTGATTTTTACAATTTCAATACAATGCAAAACTTAATTTATAACAAAATATTTATTTAAAACAATGCTATACTTTATGATTTTTGTTTTTCTCTGGAAAAGAGTATAGAAAATATTTAAAAATTATTACATTACAAAGTTACATCCCCTGTTCATAGACCGAATGACCAAATCTCGTATAATGAGAATTTCATTCGCGGTCACTTTTTAGCCCTCTTAGAGGGCTTTAAGTCTGACCAACAGTTTTTCCATACGGCGTAGTCATCTATAGAGGTGTATAAAAAATTAGCCAGATGTAAAGAAGGTAAGTGCCCTAAAATCCGTTTTGAAATCACCCTCTGTTTTTCCAATAAAATACAAAGATTATATAGGGAAATACGACTGGGCAGTTTTGACCCATTTAACGAATTTTTCCGGACATGGCGAGTTTTTTGTGACACCCCAAGGCGTTCTCCTACCACCTCACAAAATTTCTAAGTGGGTCGTTGGAGGACATTTTTTTTCATTATATAGCCCATATAAGGCGCCGGTCGGTCGAGGTCAGTTTTGACCCCCCTCTCCGTCGACTTTTTGGCGAACAGTCACGGGCCGTCGTGTTCTATCGCACCATCGTGCCAAATTTGATGCGCCTGCGGAACCGGGAAGTGCCCTAACGGGCACTTGACCATTTTGCTTTATATATATAGATTAAATGAGTAGGCCTACGTTAAATAAACCGGGAGTAATCGCCCCTAAACTTTCTCGAATATTCTTACATGACACTACGGGAGATGGCACATCATGATATAGACTTGATTTTTAATCCATTTTAAATACTTAAACTTTTAAAAATATAATACAATCTCGTAGAAAAAAGAACTGCATGCCGAGTGAACGCCAAATAAAATGTATATAATAGTGCGGAATATTATTAGTATTTTATAAATTCATATGCGTTTTTTGAGAAATTGGAAATAGCCTAAATTACTACTTCTGGTAAACGGAAGTTACTAAACTTTAACAGAAGACCGAGAGTTAGATCTTGTACTTACATGTGAAATTTCATTTATCTATCTGAAATACTACTCAAGATATAGCCTTTTGAAAAATTAAAACTAGAAAAATTACACTTCCGTTTATCGGAAATTACTGAAAAGTTGAAACTGATCTACAAATTTGATATAATACTTACGGGTACACAATTTATCGTGTTTACAGACACATACAAAGACACACACACACACACACATACACGAGTGGACAAGATTGCAAAAGTATGTTTTTCCGACTCAGTGAGGTGTAAAACGTCGAGATTTGCAAAAATCTAGGTTTTTTTTGGCACGATTACAATACTTTCTCTATACATTGTATACGAGAAAGAAAAAAAGAATATACAGGATAAATATTTTTAACCATTTATAATTACTTAAACATTTTAAAATAGAAAAGAATCTCATTGAAAAAAGAATTGCACACCAAGCGAATGCCAAACAAAATGTGCAAAATAGTGAGGGATATTAGTAGTACTTAAGAATTCATGTGCGTTTTTTTTTGAGAAATTGGCAATAGCGTAAACTACTACTTCCATTCAGCAAAAATCACTCTATATTTGACAGAAGACAGAGAATTATATCTTTTACGTGTATGTAAAATTGTATTCATCTATCCGAAAAAGTACTTAAGTTATAGGCTTTTGAAAAATTCAAAGTAGAAAAAGTTCCATTTCCGGTTATCGGAAATCGCTCAAAAGCTGACACGGATCTACAAATTTGATATAATACTTATATATGAAATTTCATCAACCTAGCTGTAATGGTACTCAAGTTATCGTGTTTACAAACACAACTCCACACATCCACACATCCGGAAAGAATTGCAAAGTCCAGTTTTTCCGATTCGATAACGCGTTAAACGCCGAAACTTTAACAAATCTGGATTTAGCATTTTTGCCCGATTAAAATAAGCCCTCTATACTGCGTTTATGATGAAGTACTGAGAAGTAAAACTGTGGAAACTGTCAAAATTCCATATGATTTTTGTGCACGACTGCAATACTTTCTCTATCTACTGTATACGAGAAAGTAATAAACCGGGAGTGATCTCCCCTAAACTTTCTCGAATATTTTTATATAAAACAACAGGGGATGGCAGTGGATTTTAATCCATTTTAAATACTTAAACTTTTTAAAATAGAATAAAATCTCGTAGAAAAAACAATTGCGCACCAAACGAACGCCACACAAAATGTGCATAATGGTGTGGAGTATTATTATTACTTTATAAATGTCATGCGTTTCTTTTTTAGAAATTGGAAATAACGTAAATTACTGCATCTGGTCAACGGAAATTACATTTTATTTCAGGTTCCTGCTGCTCGTTCTGCTGCCTTCAACCCCAAATTAGTGAGTAGTTGTGTGGGTTCGCCCAAAAATGACGTCAAATTCATGGGGGGAGGGGTATTCGAAAGTTTGTTATAAAAAGGAGATAGGAGGTCAGATAAAGTGGCGTGACATTCTTTAAACTTACTTTATAATCTGACTTTAAGTGTGTTTTCCAATTTTGGAAAACTGTAAGAAAGTGATTTATTTTCTCGTTGTTTTCTTTTGTATTTGTATTTGTATTTGTATTTGTATTTGTATTTGTATTTGTATTTGTATTTGTATTTGTATTTGTATTTGTATTTGTATTTGTATTTGTATTTGCATTTGTATTTGTATTTGTATTTGTATTTGTATTTGTATTTGTATTTGTATTTGTATTTGTATTTGTATTTGTATTTGTATTTGTATTTGTATTTGTATTTGTATTTGTATTTGTATTTGTATTTGTATTTGTATTTGTATTTGTATTTGTATTTGTATTTGTATTTGTATTTGTATTTGTATTTGTATTTGTATTTGTATTTGTATTTGTATTTGTATTTGTATTTGTATTTGTATTTGTATTTGTATTTGTATTTGTATTTGTATTTGTATTTGTATTTGTATTTGTATTTGTATTTGTATTTGTATTTGTATTTGTATTTGTATTTGTATTTGTATTTGTATTTGTATTTGTATTTGTATTTGTATTTGTATTTGTATTTGTATTTGTATTTGTATTTGTATTTGTATTTGTATTTGTATTTGTATTTGTATTTGTATTTGTATTTGTATTTGTATTTGTATTTGTATTTGTATTTGTATTTGTATTTGTATTTGTATTTGTATTTGTATTTGTATTTGTATTTGTATTTGTATTTGTATTTGTATTTGTATTTGTATTTGTATTTGTATTTGTATTTGTATTTGTATTTGTATTTGTATTTGTATTTGTATTTGTATTTGTATTTGTATTTGTATTTGTATTTGTATTTGTATTTGTATTTGTATTTGTATTTGTATTTGTATTTGTATTTGTATTTGTATTTGTATTTGTATTTGTATTTGTATTTGTATTTGTATTTGTATTTGTATTTGTATTTGTATTTGTATTTGTATTTGTATTTGTATTTGTATTTGTATTTGTATTTGTATTTGTATTTGTATTTGTATTTGTATTTGTATTTGTATTTGTATTTGTATTTGTATTTGTATTTGTATTTGTATTTGTATTTGCATTTGCATTTGCATTTGCATTTGCTTTTGCATTTGCATTTGCATTTGCATTTGCATTCGCATTCGCATTCGCATTCGTATTCGTATTCGTATTCGTATTCGTATTCGTATTCGTGTTCGCGTTCGCGTTCGCGTTCGCGTTCGCGTTCGCATTCGCATTCGCATTCGCATTCGCATTCGCATTCGCATTCGCATTCGCATTCGCATTCGCATTCGCATTCGCATTTGTATTTGTATTTGTATTTGTATTTGTATTTGTATTTGTATTTGTATTTGTATTTGAATTTGTATGCTTTTTAAATTGCTTTTTAGAAAACTATTTTATGAGCTTTATGAACACCAATATTCGACTATTTAAAGAGGACCAATAAGTCATGAAAGTGATTTGAAATTTTGTCTCTATCACATTATACTGTAGTGGTTTCTTATTGCAATAGTGTTTGATAGTTACTGTAAAGCAATCACTGCTGTAGTAGTCTGTTTTTTTATAAAATACGTCTAAAATGAGCACACACAATATATTCTGTTGTTTTTGGTCGGATTTGAACCTTCTTTATGTTCTACTCGCCGCGCCCCACATTGCGGTGTCTGTCGTATCGGAGTTCCACCCTTGCTTTTAAAATAAACATATTGCATATAACTTCAAATACACAAATACTGTGTAACTACAAAGAAAATTTTAATGATTCAGCAAGTTTTAATTTAACTGTAAAAATGGGGACACAATTTCACCTGAAGTCGGATATTAACGTTATCTGAAGTATGACTGCTAAACACATTTTTTAAATAAAATTAGTATAATACGTATTTACGCTTTAAAAGAATGCCGAGCAACTTATTCATATCCAATTATGTAGATAAAATTGAACTTTTAAACTTGTTAATTTTTATTAAGTGTAAAACTTATTTGAAAACCGATTAGCATTAATTTTAAAAGAAGTTTTTCTTTTATCTAAATGTTTTGCTCCTTTTTTTATGCTTGTAGTCAAAGAACGGGAGAATTTAAAGATTTAAATTCCTGAAGCGGTTATGACCCTTTACTAATTAAAAATTGAGGAGTAAAAGCGTTCAAGTATTCACCACTCAATAGGCATTTCTGAGGATCTGGTATTTTTTCTAGGTGCATATGGCACCAGAGCTATCTGCTTACCAAATATTCACTTTTTGTCGCATATGCAAGTGGTCAATCTAATTCAAGCACTTCAGAAAAATGTATTGTATATATCGCCGCGCTCACTCTAGGCCAGTTTTCGGTCACTTTAAACTCCATTATTGAGATTACTCTTTTTTCCCGTTAAAAAGAGAATGAACCGCAAACTTTGGCAAGAACAATTTCCAAGCAACTTACCTGCAAATAACTGATCTAGTAGGTGCGAATACTAAAGAAACGAAACATCACCACTTTACTTTTATAGGTACTGCGGTCAAGATGATAATATATCTATCTATAATAGAACGCTCGTATTTAAGGAGGGATAGGTAAAAGTTGTAAAAACAATTTTTATTATTTACTTTTGTAACATTCATTTTTCTGTACCATCCCCTTCGTCTCAATTATATTTTTTCTTTTTTTCTCATGTGACAAAAATATTTTTTTTATAAATTGCTAACTGTAAAACTACTTCAGTGTGCTGTGAAATCTTATTTGCAACACATAATTTTATCCTCAGGTCGGAGCACAAATTGATGATTGGGTAATTATTTCTTACCATCTTGTTTTGAATATTTTTTTCAATTATCTAATTAAAATTAAATTCCTTGCTTGTTAATTAGTCAGTCCATCTGTCTGCTTTTTAAAAAATACTATTCAATGCCGACTTCAGTAAGAACTAGCGGAATAAAACAATAGGCCTACTTCTTTATTTTAAAACCATAAATACCAACGTACTAGTTTACTTTTTAAAATTTAAATTTACTAAAATAAATTTTTAAAACTCTAATATAAATACTTTTATAATAATAACCTTTCAAATGCACTAAAAATTTTAAACAATCGTGCTTTCATTAAAAAAAGCATTAAGCATGAAGTCTATTACATATTGGATCGAAAAATACATTGACTTAACAAATCAGGTCTGTTTTGTTTCGTTTTTTTAAGTGCATTTGAAGATAATAATTATTAAGAATGTATATTTATATATTATTAAATGAGTAGGGCTACGTTAAATAAACCGGGAGTAATCGCCCCAAAACTTTCTCGAATATTCTTACATGATACTACGGGAGATGGCACATCACGATATAGACTTGATTTTTAATCCATTTTTAATTACTTAAACTTTTAAAAATATAATACATTCTCGTAGAAAAAAGAACTGCACGCCAAGTGAACGCCAAAAAAAATGTTAAAATAGTGCGGAATATTATTAGTACTTTATAAATTCATATGCGTTTTTTGAGAAATTGGAAATAGCCTAAATTACTACTTCTGGTCAACGGAAGTTACTCAAACTTTAACAGAAGACCGAGAGTTAGATCTTGTACTTACATGTGAAATTTCATTTATCTATCTGAAATACTACTCACGTTATAGGCTTTTGAAAAATTAAAAGTAGAAAAAAATTATCGGAAATTACTGAAAAGTTGAAACGGATCTACAAATTTGATATAATACTTAAGGGTACACAAGTTATCGTGTTTACAGACACATACAGACACACACACACATACACACACACACAAATGGACAAGATTGTAAAAGTATGTTTTTCCGACTCAGTGAGGTGTAAAACGTCGAGATTTGCAAAAATCTAGGTTTTTTTTGGCACGATTACAATACTTTCTCTATACATTGTATACGAGAAAGTAAAAAAAGAATATATAGGATAAATATTTTTAACCATTTATAATTACTTAAATTTTTTAAAAAGAAAAGAATCTAATTGAAAAAAGAATTGCACACCAAGCGAATGCCAAACAAAATGTGCAAAATAGTGCGGGATATTATTAGTACTTAAGGATTCATGTGCGTTTTTTTTTTTGAGAAATTGGCAATAGCATAAACTACTACTTCCATTCAGCAAAAATCACTCTATATTTGACAGAAGACAGAGAATTATATCTTTTACGTGTATGTAAAATTTTATTCATCTATCTGAAAAAGTACTTACGTTATAGGCTTTTGTTTTTTCTTGAAAAGAGTATAGAAAATATTTAAAAATTATTACATTACAAAGTTACATCCCCTGTTCATAGACCAAATGACCAAATCTCGTATAATGAGAATTTCATTCGCGGTCACTTTTTAGCCCTCTTAGAGGGCTTTAAGTCTGACCAACAGTTTTTCCATACGGCGTAGTCATCTATAGAGGTGTATAAAAAATTAGCCAGATGTAAAGAAGGTAAGTGCCCTAAAATCCGTTTTGAAATCACCCTCTGTTTCTCCAATAAAATACAAAGATTATATAGGGAAATGCGACTGGTCAGTTTTGACCCATTTAACGAATTTTCCCGGACATGGCGAGTTTTTTGTGACACCCCAAGGCGTTTTCCTACCACCTCACAAAATTTCTAAGTGGGTCGTCGGAGGACATTTTTTTTCATTATATAGCCCATATAAGGCGCCGGTCGGTCGAGGTCAGTTTTGACCCCCCTCTCCGTCGACTTTTTGGCGAACAGTCACGGGCCGTCGTGTTCTATCGCACCATCGTGCCAAATTTGATGCGCCTGCGGAACCGGGAAGTGCCCTAACGGGCACTTGACCATTTTGCTTTATATATATAGATTAAATGAGTAGGCCTACGTTAAATAAACCGGGAGTAATCGCCCCTAAACTTTCTCGAATATTCTTACATGACACTACGGGAGATGGCACATCATGATATAGACTTGATTTTTAATACATTTTAAATACTTAAACTTTTAAAAATATAATACAATCTCGTAGAAAAAAGAACTGCATGCCGAGTGAACGCCAAATAAAATGTATATAATAGTGCGGAATATTATTAGTATTTTATAAATTCATATGCGTTTTTTGAGAAATTGGAAATAGCCTAAATTACTACTTCTGGAAAACGGAAGTTACTAAACTTTAACAGAAGACGGAGATTTAGATCTTGTACTTACATGTGAAATTTCATTTATCTATCTGAAATACTGCTCAAGTTATAGCCTTTTGAAAAATTAAAACTAGAAAAATTACACTTCCGTTTATCGGAAATTACTGAAAAGTTGAAACTGATCTACAAATTTGATATAATACTTACGGGTACACAATTTATCGTGTTTACAG